ATTAGAAATTAGAGGCCTAAATGATTTGGGGAATCAAAATTGATGATGACAATAAGTTTTATTTAATATTTGGAGCCTTTTGAAAGTTTGATTAAAAATCTGATTCAAATTGTTAAATTTAAATATAATTAATTGGGCTATAAAGGAAGTCAAATTAGACTAATTAAATTATGTGGGATTTGTGATTAGTTATGATTAATCAATTATGTGTTAACCAATATTTATTAAGATTAAGTGTTGCTTAATTAAATTAATCCTAAGTATAAATTGTATTATGGAGCAAACTGGAATTGTGAGTGTGTACTGAGAAATCTGCCTATGTACGTACATGTGAGTTTTGTGTTGAAGAGTTGATTAAGTGTGCACGTGTGCTATGTGTTGTCAACAACAAGAGGAGTGCATGTGTGTGCACGTTAAAGGATTTGGTTGCTTGGTGCTCTGCTGAGAGCATTTCAAAAGGAAAGAGAGTGAATTAAAGAGTGTAGAGAAAGAGAGTGAATTAAAGAGTGTAGAGAAAGAGAGAGTTTGCTGGAAGACCAAGGAGAAAAACAAGGGAAAGTAAAGTGTTGAAGAGGAGTTTAATAATTGACCAAAAAATTCATCAATTTGAAGACTTAAAGTAAGAAATTGAGACTTAAATTTTGTAGATAATTTACCTACAAGCTGAAATTAAGAGGTGATTGGGTTGAATCTCATGTAATTGAAAGGAAATGAAGAAATTAAGTTAGATTCTTAATTATGGAAATTAATTTGGAAATTGATTATTTTGGATTGATTTTGATTATCTTGCATGAAATTGAGTCTAATTTCTACATGCATGGACAAATCTTACAAGTTTTAATACTCTAATTGTACATGCATCATGGATTTCTAATAAGTAATTTCAAGTTTTCATGAAATAGGAACTAAGCTTTGGAAAATTATGAGTTCGTGAACAAATGAGTTCAATTTTTAAATTAAAGGAGTTTTGATGTAAATGATCTAAAATTGATCATATTTTCTTGATTAATTAAGAGTTTGTGTGTTTTAGACAAGTCATGTATGAACCCAAGTTTTGAGATTATATTTTGAAAGTTTAATTCATATTTTAGAATTTATGAGTTTGAAATTGGGTTCGATATGAAGAAAATTAGATTGGATAAATCAAGAAATTAATTATGATTTAGACTTTGACAATCAATAATTGACTTGATTTTTTATTTGAATTTCATTCTTACAAATATCTTTCTAAGAGCTTGTACCTTAATTTTATGTTTTGTAAGAAATGAAGAAAAATATTAAAATCATTAAATTCATGGAGATTTGACCTATGAATTAAAAATGACTTTGAATATATATGTTTTTGGGAGTGTCATTGCATATTTGAACGTATCATACATGGAGTGGACCTTTGGAAATGTGTTTTGAGCTTCAAACAGAATTTTGAAAATTCCAGAATTTGACTTGTCTGCTCAAGCGAGTAAAATATCGCTCGAGCGGAGAAATTAAGCTTCCAAAAATTTTGCAATCTACTCGAGTGACTAAAGTTGCGCTCGAGCGAAGTGGCTTGTTTCAGAAAATTTTGAAAAGATGGTTCATGACTCGATTTCCATTCTCTTTCACTTCTAAGCATTCTTAGGCATGTACTGAGCATTATAAATGAACTATAGAGTTGAAAAGAGCCTAAGAGAATTAAACGAATTAAAGAACGGAATGAATTGTATTGTGACCCGATTTTTATGTGTATTACGAATTGTGTAGGGTCAAATGCAAGGACAAATCGAGCAGCGGAACACTGTGAGTAATATCTTAGTAAAGATATTTTCAAGTATGTTATTTTCCAAATGCTAATTCTGTACAAGCTCCATGGATTTGTTGATTTGAATATTTTGATAGGCCAAAGGCCGTTTGAATATGAATGTAATGGGGCCAAAAACGGTTTGAATGAAAAGTGATCATGATCATGAATATGAAACGTGCATAGATATGAATATGGAAATAACGGGCTAAAGGCCGTTTGAATGAAAATTGATCATGATCATGATCATGATTATGAATATGAAATGCATATAAATATGAATATGGAAATGACGGGCCAAAGGCCGTTTGAATAAAAAGTGATCATGATCATGAATATGAAATACGCATAGATACGAAAATGGAAATAATGAGCCAAAGGCCGTTTGAATGAAAAGTGATCATGATCATGAATTCGAAATGTGCATAGACACAAATATGGAAATAATGGGCCCGAGGCCGTTTGATACGTTGAAGTGCTTGAATTGGGCTCGAGGCCGTTTGATGAGTCCGACAAGTTATGCAATGGGCCTTAGACCGTCTGACATGTTTGATGCAATAGGCCCGAGGCCATTTGATATGTTTGATAAGGATCTAAATTGGGCTCGAAACTATTTGACATGTATAAAAAAACACAGAATGGGCCTAAGGCCGTTTGTATATGAAATTTACGGGTTCGATGTATTTAATATGAATTTCATTCGTATAACCTCTTTACTATGGTATTATTTATTGGGTTTTCGCTCACTCTTTGTATATATGTATGTAGGTGAGCAGCAGGACGCTCAACCCCAACCGTAACGAACCCAAGAAAGAATGCCAAGTTTGTGGAATTAACTATGACACGCTTCACGAACGAGGCCTTAGTTTTAAAACTTTCATTTTGACCTTTTTGTCTTCATTGATGGTCATGTCTGACCTTATCTATATATAAGCTATGGATTTATATAAGTATGGTGTTGCGTGGACCTAGACATAGAATGTCTTTTAAGTGGGTATGTTTGGTGTGAGTTATTAATATAAGAAATATTTTTGTTCATTCCATTTATGCATAAGTTCATTGGACAATTATTATCTTTTGCTTCCGCTTTTGGCCCCATTTGATTATTTAAAATTTGTTTTCTGTTTAAGGTCGTAGGTAATCTAATGATTACTGACCGGTTATGATCCTAACCTATAGGAGCGGGTTCAGGTCATGACAATATATATGCAAAAAATTAGTTTGATACCATTCATTTCACTAAATAAATGACAAAATATATTAACGGCTCCTATAGTTTGATATTTGTGTCATTTTGGTTCACGACTTTTCAATTGTGATATATTTGACCCTGAATTTTAAATCTTGTTTCAAATAAGGAAAATCGAAAGCATTATTGCTCAATTTCAATAGCAAAATTGTCAATTTGATAAAATATAAACTAATTTGACAAAAATAAATGCCAAAAAATTATTTTTAAATTTTTAAAAATTATTTCTATTCACCAAAGATAAAATTGTATAAAAATGACAAATTTTTTATTTTTTATTATTTTTTTACTAAATTAATTTTTAGTATGTGTTTGGATGATAATTATGTAATTGATGGTTATTTTTGTTGATATTTTTGGATGGTTTTCATTTACTAGATGGTTGTATTTGTTATTAACAGATATTTTTGGATGGATAATATTATATCCCCTAAAGTGAAATCAATCCCTTTTTTCTGCATTTAATTATATCGAGATTTACATGTGGAAATTATAAGAATGGATAATATTATAATATTTTCATTTATTCCAAATTACCCTTTCTATTCCTATCTAAAAAATAAATAAATTAAATTCAATGTATTTAGCTTGGTTTGGGAAGAAATTTTTTTAGTTTTTTTTGGCTAAAAATAGTATTAGAAGACAAAATAGGCTAGTTAATAAGATAAAATGTTATATCAAATCTACAATTATTTATATGTTATCCATCCCCAAGCTGGTTCAGTGGTAAGGGCGTACATATGATTGTGTGGGTAAGGCGTACGGTTACGGGTTTGATTTCCTTTGGGATTAAACTTGAAATTTAAGTGGGAGCTGTGACGGTGGGTTGCTGTGATTGTTCTCCTGAGGATTAGTAGGACGGGTAAAAAATCAGAGCCTGAATACCTTAGTTATCAAAAAAAAAAAAAAAATATTTTAAATATTTTAAGTATATATATTTTTTAATTTTTAGATACACCTAATATAAATACACAAAAAAAAAATATAGGCCTTGTATGTTGAAAAAAAAAAAAAAGAAGAAGATTAGAAGTACAAAACTATTTTTCTGTCTTTTGTTTGTTATTATCAAAATTAGGAAGGTGGAAGCTATGGTTACGCAATTTTACCAAAGCAATTATTCTGACTAGTTTATATTTTATTTGGACAAAGACTATTACTAGAGGAATAGTTCTATTGCCAGGGCAATAGCGCTGTTCCAAAATAAAAGTATAAAATATTAGAAATTTTGAAATTTTATTAAAAACTTTAATAAATGTCACTCATATATTAAAATTTTGGACAAATTATAAACATCCCCTCGAAGTTTGGTAAAAATACAAATTTCTTTTGCGGTTTGAAAAATTACAAATTACTCATTGAGGGTCAAATTTTCATAACAAATTAGGGCAAATTAGGAGGGAATCTGTATGAAAATAAAAACCTCAGATTTTCATAACAAATTAGGGCAAATTAGGAGGGAATCTGTATGAAAATAAAAACCTCAGGAAATAATTTGTTATGAAAATATAAACCTCAGGAGGCGGGATGTAATTTCTCAAACCTTAGGAAAAAATCTGTATTTTCACCCAACTTCAGGAGAGGTGTTTGTAATTTGCCCTAAATTTTTTAGTAAATGTCACCCACAGCCGATAAATTTCATGTGAGTCTCGCATTTATATATATATATATATATATAAATGGTAAATTTTATATACATCTCTCGAGGTTTGACTAAATTATAAATATCTCTTGAGGTTTTGGAAATTATATCTCGCTCCTTAAGATTTGTATTTTCATAATAATTTGTCTTCTGAGATTTAAATTTCATAACAAATTATTTCCTAATTTATTTTGTAAATATAACATTTGAGAAAGAATTTATAATTTCTCAAACTTTATAGAAACTTTATAGAGTATTTGCAATTTAGCCAAATGCAAAGGTATGTTATTTGCCCATATATAAAAGATCCAGCTGAATCTCACACATTTAAAAATAAAAATTTTAATATCTCTACCACGATTGTACTATTATTCTGCCAAAACCAGAATTGCTCTGGCAATTACAAACAAATACATGCATGCTAGCTTCATCTCCACCCCCAAATCTCAGTTGACACCGCGACAATCAGATCAGAGGTAGCCCTACGATCTCGATTACCACCAGATCTCTTCAATCTTCCTAGACACTGCTTTGATCTCTGATCTCTCGCGTTGGAAGAAACCCAACCCTAGGATCGATGGCGGGGGCGGCCTCGGCGCTCTTCCTTCTGGACATCAAGGGCCGGGTTCTGGTGTGGCGCGACTACCGTGGCGATGTCTCTTCCGTTCAGGCCGAGCGATTCTTCACCAAGCTCATCGAGAAAGAGGTTTGTTCGAATCGTTAATCGCTCAAACTCTCTGGATTTTGATGCTTTTTTGAATGCTATGTATCACTTTTCATTTTCATTTTAATTTGATCTCCCAACTCCGAAGTCTAGTTTATTAATTGGAGTAGACACGTTTGATTTCTGAGAAAACCTAGGAAAATATGAGGAAGATCAGAAATAGTAATTGAATAATACTAGATGTACCAATTAATTTACTAATTAATATACTAACAGACGATAATTTTAGAGATTTTGATATTTGTAATTTGTATAACAGGTGGGGTTAATAATAATGGCACAACACTAATTAGTACACTAGTGTGCGTGCATGTAGCACCACTGATAATAACAATACGAGAAGCTCAATTAAATGATGCCATATGGTTGATTTGAATGAAGTTTGAATTCAATTTTTACGATGGTTGGTTCGAATGATTAATGGCTCAAATTCGCTTGATTTTGATGCTTTGTAAATGTTATTTATCAACTTTCCATTTTCCTTTAATTTGATCTCCCAACTCCATAGTTGAGTTGGTTAATTGAAGTGGATGCGTTTGATTGCGGAGAGAATGGAGGAAAATACGAGGAAGGTTAGAAAAAATACGAGAAGCTCAATTAAATGATGCCATCTCATTGATTTGAATGAAAACTGATTTCAATTCGGACAATGGTCGGTTAGAATTGTTTATGGTTCAAATTTGCTTGATTTTGATGCTTTGTGAATGTTTTGTATGACCCCCCCCTTTTTTTTTCATTTAGTTTGATCTTCAATTTCAAAATCAAGTTGATTAATTGGGGTAGACGCATTTGATTTCTAGAAAACCGACAAAAATACGGGGAAGATCAGTAAAAAATATGGAAAGCTCAATTAAATGATGCCATATGGTTGATTTGAATGAGAACTGAGTTCAATTCGGACAATTCATAGTAGTGTTTGGTAGAATTTTAGAATTATGATTTGAGAATAGAGTTTTATTTGAGTTTGTGAGTTTTGAAATAAAAAAAATTGTTTGGTTATGAGTTTTGAAAAGACTTATTGAATTTTTGATATGATATATGAAATGAGAAAAGTTGTTTGGTTATAAATTTTGAAAATAATTTTCAAAACTTAATTCAAAAACTTATAACTCATAATAAAAAATACAACTCAAAACACTATTGGAAACTCTATTTAAAACTCATAATCAAACTATTTTTAAAATTCAAAAAAAAAAAAATTTTTACATTTAAAAAAGATCAAAAACAAATATATATATATTTCTAAATAACAGGTGGCGATTGGCGATTGCAAAAAAAATAAATATATATATATATGTTGTTCCGCTCAATTGGCTGAACGTCCGGGAGGATGATCAGGTAGATCCAAAATTCAAAAACTCCTCTGCTTTTCAGAATGGAGAAGACGAAAGAGAGAGAGTATGGACGAATTTGCCAAACGTGAAGGAGAAATATATTTTGAAATGTGTAGTGGAATCACATTTTCAAAATTCCATCCAAACCGTACATGCAAACGGAGGGGTGGAATTATGATTAGAAAATATAACCAAACACAGCCTATAGTTTTTTAGTTAGCTTTTTTAGTACAATTTCTGATGATGGTGTTCTGTTTTTTCTTAATTGTATGTATTTGGTTGACAGGGTGATGCGGGGTCTCAAGATCCAGTTGGGTATGATGATGGTGTCACCTACATGTTTGTACAGCACAACAATGTCTATTTGATGACTGCATCAAGACAGAACTGTAATGCTGCTAGTCTTCTTCTCTTTCTACACCGCGTAGTTGATGTAAGCACCTATTGGTAATTAAAGCTTTATGCTTTGACTAATGACGTCTGTGCTTGATTCATCCTTGTGGTAAATTTAATTATCTGTGTTTTGTTTTACTAAATGAATTTTTTGGTTGGTAGGTCTTTAAGCATTATTTTGAAGAGTTAGAAGAGGAATCCCTTAGAGATAATTTTGTTGTAGTGGTAAGTCAATTCGTCAATCCTTTTTTATGAACAAGGTCCTTTGATCTGATAGTGATAAATTTTAATAATAATTGATTGGAAGAAGTTCTACTGATGCCTTTGCATTTGGCAGTATGAACTACTTGATGAGATGATGGACTTTGGCTATCCTCAGTACACTGAAGCAAAGATTCTTAGTGAATTTATTAAGACCAATGCCTATAGGATGGAAGTTGCACAGAGGCCACCTATGGCTGTAACAAATGCTGTGTCTTGGCGCAGTGAAGGCATACAATATAAGAAGAATGAAGTAGGTGTACTCTTGTGAGATTAAATTATTAAATATTTTAATGCCACTGGATTATTAACTTGTTTTTCCTGCTCAGGTATTCTTGGATGTTGTGGAGAGTGTTAATATACTTGTCAACAGCAATGGCCAAATAATTAGGTCAGATGTTGTTGGTGCATTAAAGATGCGAACTTACTTAAGGTATGTTGTCCAGACTGCTGGCAATATTTGTTTAGATTATTCAGTGGTTAGGCAAGGACATCCCAAACTTCCTTATACCTTTTAATCATCCATTTTTAAAATTGTGATCCGTACATTGACATTCGGCTTAACAATTTGTGTGCATGTGAAATTTGTAAGAACTTGAGATGATAACAATTTTATAGCCGTAGTGAATTTGCATCCAGAATCTGCACACCCGAGCAAGAATATCCAGGGTTCCTATCTATTTTATTTGAGGGCTGTTATACATCACAAATGCAAGACTGAGTATGAACCCAAAAAAGAAAAAGAAAAGAAATAATAAAAATACTAATAAAAATAAGAAGAGGAAAATTGAACAAATTTGGGAACTTAATTTATTTTATGTGAACAAATTTCCAATCTTCATATGCATGTGGATTTATGTGCTTGTCTATTTGGACACTTCAATTTTTTTTTTAACTCTGCATGGCTTGTGCTTATGATGTGTGTTTGATTGAAAAAATTGGGATTGTACATTGCTTGAGATAAAAGCAGTGGTCCGCATTTCCAAAATTTTCATCCTCATTGAGTTCACTACTCTGGATGACTATCTGGAGACTATAAGAAATTGCTTCATGTTTTGCAGTGGTATGCCTGAATGTAAGCTTGGGCTAAATGACAGAGTGTTGTTGGAAGCGCAAGGGAGATCAACAAAGGGAAAAGCCATTGATTTGGATGACATCAAGTTTCATCAGTATGCAGCTTAATTCTCTGGTTTATTTTTATTTTGGTTGGTCAGGATCAGATCAGGAAATTTGTATTGGATACAAATACTAATCCGTCTATTCCATTCTGAGATTGGATTGTAATCTTCTTTCTCTTTAATTCTCGCTCTTCCTGCTGCATGCTCCAGAGCTAATACCCAATTTGTTTTAGGTGTGTGCGTTTGGCACGTTTTGAAAATGATCGGACAATATCTTTTATACCTCCTGATGGATCTTTTGATCTCATGACATATAGACTCAGTACTCAGGTTTTTACCTCATGGTTTAGAAATTTCTCTTAAAAAAAAAAGAAGAAAAAGCAATAAGGTAATCATTGAGATTTATTATGTGCTTTCAGGTAAAGCCTCTGATATGGGTGGAAGCTCAAATTGAAAGGCATTCTAGAAGTCGTATGGAGATTGTGGTGAAAGCACGTAGCCAATATAAGGAGCGTAGGTATGGTTGAAGTTTTAATGCTCACTGGTGTCTCTCCTCCAGTTAACTCCATTGCTTGGGGTATTTGAATGTTGGATCTTTACCTTCAAAATTTTCTTAACTAACTTTTGAATTGATTCGATGTTACAGCACTGCTACTAATGTTGAGATTGAGTTGCCTGTTCCAGCTGATGCTACTAATCCTAATATTCGGACATCAATGGGATCTGCTTCATATGCACCGGAAAATGATGCTTTGCTCTGGAAAATAAAATCTTTTCCTGGTGGTAAGGTTAGAGTTTACAACAAATTCTTCTCATGCATTGTTTATTACTATTTTTCTGTACGGGACTATTGATTATGGGTGCTTTAGTATGTTTTTCATGTGCATTCACAATTTGGACACTTTATTTATTTATTACTATATATAAATTAATCTGTTTTCAAATTCAAATGTTCAGGAATATATGCTTAGAGCAGAGCTTACTCTTCCCAGTATAGTAGCTGAAGAAGCTGCTCCTGAGAGAAAAGCTCCTATACGGGTGAAGTTTGAGATACCATATTTTACAGTTTCCGGAATACAGGTTTGCCCTCACGAACTCAATTTGCTTTCTCTATTGAATAGAAATCCTGATATTATTGTGTTGCGTCTATTGACATCTTCACCTGGTAAATTACACGGTCTCTCTCTGTCTCTCTCTCTCGGGTGTAATATAGCTTCTTCTCTTGCAAGTTGATTGGGGAAATGGCTTTAACTGTTTAACAATGATGTAATTCTGCTGTGTTTTGTTCTTCTCGATGTTTCTGTAGTCCTGTTTGAATTTGACAACCGCAGTGAGATAAATTTCTACTATACTATATTTACGTAAATGTTTGGGTTTTGTAGGTTCGTTACCTAAAGATAATTGAGAAAAGTGGATACCAGGCTCTTCCATGGGTGAGGTACATTACAATGGCGGGCGAGTATGAATTGAGACTTGTGTGAAAGCCACTTCCATCTGTTGGTCTTCTCACTCCTAACAAAGTTGTTTCTGGGCTTGGATGATTCTTACTTTGTGGCCAAAAGGTGCAAAATCTTTGTTCTCAGCCGTTTTTGTTTGTTAACATCGTTGTTGTTAATCAACGGGATGTTTGCAAAAGTTAATGTTCACTGGGGAAGTTCATTTGCACACTTATGAAAATTAAGATAATTTTTTCCTTTTTTTTTTTCTCCTTTGAATTGAATTTTGCTTGTAATATTTTTATTGTTGATCTTGTTAACACCATTGTTGTTTATCAACCAGAGGCTTGTAAAAGTTGATGTTCACTGGTTAAATTAAGATCATTTTTTTGAATTAAATATTTACTTGTTATATTATTATTGTTGTTAAGTGGAGGCTGTGATTGCTCCCCTGAGGATTAGTCGGTGGACGCAGTCTAGCGGTAGAAGCCGGAAACCTCAGTTTCAAAAAAAAGAAAGAAAGTGGAGGCTAGGTACTTGCTATGCATGAAGTTCTTGTTTTTCGGTTACATGAACAAATTTAAAGGTGAGATTGTGAGAACCATTGAGGACTCATGATGGACTAACTCATAATAAATTAGGGTTCTGAGGATCAATTTTATCTCTGAAAAAAAATTTCAGTGTTTGTTTCATTTTTTGTGCCCATTTATCTCCCATTCAATTTTTTATATCCCAAAGATGGAATAACTTAGGATAATTCTATTTACACACTACAAAACCTCTCAGTGTGCACCATTTTCATAATTTTTTTTATTACACTTGTATGCCCTTATTAAATTACCATTTTGGACATAATTCTAAACACTAGACTCTTTTGGACACCACTACATACCACCAGTCTTCGCCCTGCTTTCACCTTCGGTCACCATCATTGAAACCCAACCACCATTGCAACCCTTACAACCTCCTTACCTCGCTGATGACCCCTTTCCTCTCTGCAAACCCTTCTCCTTCCCCCAACCAGAGAACAACTTGGTCCCTACCTTAGCCATGGCTTGTTTTTCTTTATCACACATGGCTTGTTTTTCTTTATCACACAGAGAGAGAGAGAGAGAGAGAGAGAGAGAGAGAGAGAACTCCTAGGGTTTTCAAATCTAGATCTAGGGTTTGCAGGAGTCTGATCATGCGAACCAGATTCTAAGCTCTGATCTAGGATTTCAAGATATGATTCGAAGCTTCACTGTTGTAGTTGCCATCGATGGGTTGGAGAAGATTGCTGTAGAGGGAAGGTTGTGGTGGTGAGGATGGGTTTTGTAGTTTTTAGAGAGAGAAAAGAAAAAGGAGATGAGATGGGATGAAAGGTTGCAGTAGCGATAGCGGGGAGGTAGAAGGAGGAAGGTGGTGGAAAAGGGTTTGGGAGTGAGGTTGGCGATAGTGAGGCAGCAGTGATGGATGGAGGAGTGAAGAAGAGATTCACTGGAGGAAGAGAAGGTGACGATCGGCGGCGCGTGGCAGCGACTAGGGTTGGTGGGATGGTTAAAGCAGATGAAGATATTTTAGGTATATTTGAAAATGGATAGTGTGCATTGAGCAAAAATAATAAATTCAAAATTGTGTTTGATGTACATTAAGTAGTGTGTAATGAAATTATGTGTGGCTTATAAATAAAATCACCCGATAACTTATTCTAAAATAAAGTTATTACTAGGGGTTATTTGAAATGACTTAAATAAGTGTACTTTTTGTCTTTTTATGAAAAGATGTACAGAAAAGTAAAAAGATGATGTGATGAAAAAAAGATAAAAAGATAGATTATTTTGATATTGTCAAACTTGGCCTTAAAATACTTTTTTCAGGATAAATCATCTCAAGATAACTTACTAACTTACTATCTCACCTATGTGAGCCAACTAAACATGGCCACAAGCCAAGATCACGTTTAGTCACAATGTTTGATAATTAGTTTTTTTTTTTTTTTTATTTTCTCAAATGATTTTTTTTTTTTTAAATTTTTTTATCAACCTTTTTTATTTTTATTTTTCTGATTCATCTAAAAGTTAAAAAAATCTAAAAAGTTAAAAACAAAAAAAAGAATACAAATTTCAAAATTTCAAAACAGGTCAACAAAAGTAGAAAGTAGATAGTGTTTTTTTTCACATTTTTTTGTTTTGAGTGTCGACAATGCTACGTAACTCAAATTTTGTGGCTCAAATGACCAAAATGACGTCGTTTTGAGTACAGAACAACATAAAAATGGCCAAAACGACGTAATGTGGATTTTCTAAGGGAAATGGTTTTTTTTTTTATAATTTGTTTTTTTTTTTTTTTTTTTCAATTGTCTCAAATGACTTTTTTTTTTTAAAATTTTTTTATCAAACTTTTTTATTTTTATTTTTCTGATTCATCTAAAAGTTAAAAAAATCTAAAAAGTTAAAAACAAAAAAAAGAATACAAATTTCAAAATTTCAAAACAGGTCAACAAAAGTAGAAAGTAGATAGTGTTTTTTTCACATTTTTTTGTTTTGAGTGTATATATATATATATATTAATTTCTTACTTATCTAGTCGAATGGATTGACGTTCAAAGTTTTTCAAAAAATTAACTAAAAAAATGTATATAAAAAGAACACTAAAAAAATTAGTTCCAAACAAACAACGTATAAAAAAATTAAAAATTAAAAAAAAAGAAAAAGTATAGCTCTATGCCAAATCATTGAACATTGGAAAGACCAAATGGGTCTCATCTAAGCTTCGCCTCTGATCTCTCTCACAAAGCTAGAACTCTAGAAGCTGGTTTCCTCCAAATACAAAAAAAGGAAGAACTTTACATTCTCACTAAACTAGATTTTTATTTTTATTTTTATATATACCAAAAATAAGGGAACAAAACAATTAAAAGAAAAAAAAAGAAAGTACAGAGAATAACAGCTTTCTTCCTTTCTCTACTCTCCATCTCTTTTCAATTTTTTTTTTAGCTGTAATGTATCATTGAGAGCACCAAATACTAATGCTCAGCTTGATTCGGTAGCGTTGGTGGAGTCTTCCTAAATGCATGCTTTCTACATCGTTCAAAAATGCTGTCGTATATCAAATCGAATTGTACACCTGCTCTTTCCCGGTTCACAATAAAAAGAATGTGATCGCCTTCCACAATCTTGTAGTACCTACACTCAAAAAAGTATGATCTTCATTAGCATACAAAATTGGCGTTTTTATTTTTTGGAAAACACAGATCAAGTTGCACTCCATTCCATTTCCACCTCAGATGTTACCAGTTCATTTGAAGCTCTCTCAAAATTTGATTTTTTCCAATCCATTTTCCACTTCTTGTAAATAATTTTATGGTACAATCGAAAAAGATTCAAATGGATTTCTTTTGGTTTCGAAGTTTCAACCACTACCCACAATGGCCAAAACCTTAGAAGCAATTTCATGTTTTGACAGAGAAATGAACATGTTGCCAAAATAAAGCCGCCAAACTTTTCGCTAGAAAAAAAATTGAATTTTTATATAGAAACAAAAAGTAAGTTAAATTGATCAAAATTTTGAGTTGGCTCCACATTTGATCTCAAAAGTTCAATTTTTTGGAAGGCAGGTAGATTCTATGTTAGGTTATATATATATATATATACGTATATTTGTATATTTCCCCTTATGTTGATGTATTTCTTTCATATCATTCGATTGACAAAATTCACTAACCAAAAAAAAAGGTTCACCGAAAATTAAATATATGCCATAATGATATGTATGATTGATTGAACGTCTTGGTAGGGTAAGTGTATAGACAAATGATAGTTAGAAGCGTAACTAACCAGATGCCCGGTTGCATGGGCTGGCAATCTGAGTCCTTCACAACAAGCTGGCTTGGGTGTTCAACTGGCAGACGAGGGTGTGTCATGGATATGGTGTTGAGTGCTCCATCATTGTCCCACCAATCTTCATCCCTGCAAGTGTATTTACATGAAGCATACGTCATGACAGAGTGCCCTCAAGACAATATGACACGGATTGTCTCTAAAATAGCAGTTAAAATCAGAGCAAATCCCCAAGATTTTTCAAAAACACCCACAAAATCAGAATGCAATTTTGAAATATGTCTCAAAATGGTTAGCGAAGTCCAAACATGATTGTAAACTTCATACGAGTAAAGTAAAAGTTTGATCAAATTTTCAAATGGCTGCTTTAGTTCTATACTAGAAGTGGAAGTACTCAAAATTTCATTGAAACATGAAGCTTAAGCACATCAAAGAAAAGCCATAAAGACATGTTTACCAACATGAGTCAATGGAACAATAGGTACGCAAAGAAAACAGACCTATAGCCTTTGTAAGGTGGCTTGGTATCTTGAGGAAGACGCCACTGGCTCATCTGCAAAACTCTTAAAAAAAGCAGAGGGTGTATTCCGGGTATGCTAGAAGGAACTGTGACACCCATGATTTTCTTAGTTCGCTTCGTAGCATAGCTGAAATAGTATGTATTGGGGAAGGTTTGTAGATGGCTGTTCAATCTCATCGACCCTTGAATAGTAAGATCTGGAAGGATCCAATCTCCCGAAGCAAATGGACCTGAATTTCCCAGTAGGCAATCGACAAAACCCCGAACACCTCTTTTCTTCCAAGACATGTTGAAGTGATCGAACCCAAAATTGTAATAGTTCTTTAGCCAGGGAACGCCTAACCAATCATAAACTATTACCCCAAGGCGGCACAGTTGAAGCAAAGAAATAGGTTTCAAGGACCTCCCATCTTCTGGCCTGTAACACATTATAATCACATTGACAAAAGAATTTGATTCAAGATTGCGATAAAAATGGCTGGTTTGTCAAAATCTCCAAGTAACAAATTCAAAAGATTAAAAGAAATTATTTGTAATTAGATTTCTTATATGCATCAACTTCAATTGAAACCATATCAATTCTAGAATCTTCTTGCATAATCTAAAGTTATTACAATCCCTATTTTTTGACGGTCCAAGCATTGCATCGATTAGATTGAAATTTACTGTACTTCTAAATTTCAATGATCATTGCAATGCAAAAAAATATTTGTACTCTAATCTCTGAGTTAGAACTTACTGCATCCCATCCAAATAGGTTCTGGTAGTTCCATTGAAAGCTCCAGATAATGATGTTACGCTTAATACCCAATTCTCGGAAGTGTTCTCATGCCCACTGAAAGCCTGAAATTATTTACCAACTACTATTTAAAAACATACAAGGTGATTAATTGCTTCTGTTTTGACAGATTATATATCAAACCTAACCTTATCAGCGAGCATTTGCTGCAAAACCCGAACAACCTGTGCTCCAGCCGAATGCCCCACAAAGTGAATTGGGTGATCCTCATCCCATACCGGGTAGTGCCCTACAACATCCCAATTGTATCAAACAACGCAATACATAAATATAACTAATGGTGGTAAATCTGTGGCTAAACCTTCTACCTTGTTCATAAATTCTTCCAAACCGGGAGTGCCCACAAGCCTTGCTGTGTTCTTCACCATAATCAACTTGCCCGCCTTTCAAATAGTAGAACAATTCGCGAGCCCTGAAACCAAAACGGCCCTCAAATTTGAATAAAATAGATGAAGATGAAAATTTCGGGAAAAAAGGTCCAAAATGAACCTCAACCTAAGCATTTGTGCATAAAGAACCAACCTGTCATATATGCTAGTTAATGAACCTAAATCCGGCACAAAAACCCTTCCGTCTTTCTTCTCTGCCCCTGCGAAATACGATAATCCCCCCAATCTCTGGAAACAGTGCAAAAATCAGAACACCAGTCTTCAGAAACTGGACCAAAAATCAATTTCAATGACAACCCAGAAACCAAAGTTGAAAATAACCTATTCAAGGTAACACAACATACCCCCTTTACACCATGATTAAAAAAAAAAAACTGAACCAAAAATCAATCTCAATAACAAACCAGAAACCAAATTTGAAAACAACCTATTCAAGGTAACATACCCAATTGCACTAGTCTTCAAAAGAATTGAACCAAAAATCAATCTGAATGACAACCCAGAAACCAAATTTGGAAACAAACTATACAAAACATACCCCTTTGCCGAATCCAAAGATACCATGGACCAACACAATGGGAGGCAAATCAGCAGCACTGGTTGACCCTTTGGGCTCTTCCTCTTTGACCCCAACATTCACATTTGACTTGAAAAGAGATTCATTCAAAGCCTGAGAAAGATCACCCGCCACCGCGGTGCTGAATATGTAAAGCCCATAAAGCAAATGAACCAAAGAGCTCACAAACAACTCTGCTAAATGCAGGCCAGCCATCCACAACCTGGTCATCTTCTATATATATATATATGTATCTCTCTCTCTCTCTCTCTCTATGTATGTGCTAAATGCAGGCCAGCCATCCACAACCTGGTCATCTTCTATATATATATATATATATATGTATCTATCTCTCTCTCTCTCTCTCTATGTATGTGTTTCACAGAAGAGCCTTCTCTTTCTCAAAAAAACAGTGAAGGCTCTTCTGCATCAACCTCAAGATTTGAAAAGAATCAAAAACCCAAATCAAACCCTTCTAGAATCATAGAAGGGTAAGATTATTGAAAGTTTGAAAGCCAAACCCAACCTTTTCTTGTGTTTTTAGGCTTTGAAAATCATTTCCCACAATTTTCTCATTGCCCAACCTCACGAGTCATTAGAAAGTTGCCCCAACCAATCAGACCCTTTTACTGTTCATCATTTATTTCGCGTTTTTATATATAGATATATATATATATATTATAAATTTTTATGGTTCACAATATTTTGATAAAGAATTAAAGGACCATTAAGTTAGTGGGTGGTGATCACATTTTCTATGATATGGCAAGATGAAGACTAACAAGCCAATACCAATGGAATCTTACCACCATGAAGTCCAATGGCCACTGTTGACTTTAGAGGATAGAGATCATAAGGAGCAATTTAGCAAACTTGTTAAAAAGCCAGTTTTTTTGTTTTTTTACTAAGGTCAAGTTTGAGAATTTATAAAAAAGTTAAAAAGTTAAAAAGTTATTTAAAAAGTTAAAAATTTATTATTATTTATTAAAAATTAAAAAATACGAATGTATAATTTTTAATTCTAATTTTTTCTTACACACACTAAGGCTTGGTTTGGGGTAAATAATACAAAAAGTCACTATCTTATTTAAGTCACATCATCTTATTTAAATCACATCACCTCTCTACTATATCACATCAAATCCAACCCAAACCCAACCTATATAAGCCAATAATTCAAAAAATACATTTTTTTAAAAATATCCCAAACCAACCCTAATTTTTCCTACACACTTATTTAAAGAGATTTTGGTGGACAATTCAGAACAAGGCCAACAGATGGCTAGGGATCAAAATTGAGTAGGGTTTGGTTTTGATGGAAAGGTATGTGATTCTAGATTATTCTATACATTTATTATAATGTGCTGGATGATAGCTGGAAGGTTCTTTTTATCAAGCCAACTCCCAACAGTCCCACCCTTATCTATCTTCTACCATATCCTTCCAATTTTGTATGAGTTTTAGTGATTTGAATTGTAATTAGTTTTGTTATCAAATCAATTGTAAAATTGAACATAAAATATACATAAATGACAATATTTATTTTTACAAAATTTTATTGTTCATATGCATTTTATGTTATATTTATTGATTTAGTATTTGATTAGTATAACAATGCCTCTCAAAAATACATTCAAGTCAATACACTATAAATGTGAGTCGAGCTTAGTGATGTGTTGAACTGGAAGATAAATTATTTAATTATGACATAAAGTTTAAATTTTAGCTAATTTTGTAGTTAATGATATTTAATTAATTTAATTTTTTTATATGAATTATTTTCTTAACAAATTATACAAAATAAATAATTTAAATTACTAAAGTGAGCCTAAAGTGGCCCTTATAAACCTAACAATACCTTTCTAGTTTGATCACCAACTAAAGATATGTCAATGAATTTTAAGATGTATTAAATGGCCTAGTTTGTTTTAAAGTTAATTTCAAATAAATTTCAATCACATCAATTACACACTTTAGTCGAAATTATTATTAGTATTATTGTTATTATTATTATCATTATTTTTTACAATTTTACAATGCACTGTCAAGTTGGTGTAATTTGACTTTGGAAGATTGCGTGGGTAGATCAATTTAGGCCTGAATTTGGCTTTGCGTTTTGATTAATAAAATAGTAATTAGCTTGATTGGGTCAAGCTGGTATAATTTGACTTGTTTGCGTATACAAGGGTTAAGAAAAGAGAGTTACAGGTCAGTACTTTAAACTTTTAAATTTGGTTTAATTCTTATGAGGTCTTAACTTAAACTAATTTAGCACATCTTTTAATTTTACTCGACATTCAGCTTACATGTAAAAATCATTCAACCGTTCCACACACACACTCTCTCTCTCTCTCCTCTCAACCGGCCACTGAAGACCACTTTAGACCTTTGAAAATATTTTTTTTAGCAATTTTCCATTTCCACCATGTCAATATGTTGGCAACAAGAAAAAAAGAAGAAGAATAAGGATGAAGAAAATCAAGGAGGGGAATAAGGAGTCCTTATTAGAAAATAATTCTTCCAACACAAAGATTCAAAGACAAATTTAGTAAAAGAATTTATAATTGATACATTCAATAATAGTTGTATCACTATTTGTTTTTTTTTTAAATTAAAAAAGAAAATATCGTCTTCATAATCACAAATCAACATAAGATTCAAAGACATACTTAGTGCTAAATTTATCACTGACTGTTTGTTAAAAAATTACAAAAAGAAAATCTCATCATCATCGTCAGAAATTAACATAAGATTGAAAGACATATAGTAATAAATTTAGCATTGATAAACACATTCACTAATAAATTTCTCACTAGTTGTCTGTTAAAAGATTACCCAAAAAAAAATAAAAGATTACTAAAAAAAAAAAAAATCTCATCATCATCGTCACAAATCAACACAAGATTCAAAGAAATATATCGATGATACATTTATTACTGATACAACAGATTTGGTTTAAGAGAAATAAAAAGAGAGAGAGAGAGTGAGGTGATAAATATAACATGAACAAAAATCAGTAATAAATTTATCATGTATTAATATCAAAATTCCAGCAGCAGCAGTCCACAACATATTAAACAAATCAGTGATAAATTTATTACTGAATTAAGTGATAAATTCATCAGATTAGTTCAACATGTTTTACAAATGTAGATCTTCACAAACACACTGTAGAAAGAGTCTCGATCTCATTGGCAACCATGTAAAGTACCAGATTGGCACCAAAGATGGTAGATCGGTATTGAAAACGACTAGATTTGAAGCTGTACAAGCACAAAATAATCTTCTCGTATAATCCTGTTGATCAAGTTTGCACTCCTCCAAACGTCGTCACTTTACTCCCTGAAAACACAAACGTGAGCTAGCCGGCGGGTGTGTGCTAGATATCTCTCCGATGCCTAAGTCAGCCAATAGACAATGGACAAATGCTCTGTGTATTTGAGAGTCAAGATTGTGATACCTGTATATAGGTCCTGCTATGAGCTTTTATAGATTTTGCCTGGCACAATCCTAGTAGGACTCTTATTCACCAATGTAGAATCCTCCTAGGAATCAAAAAGGTAATGCTCATCTTTCTACACCCCCCTCACTGCTTAACCAAGTGAGATGGTTTTACCACGGTAGCATGACAAAAGAACCGAGCTATCACTAACATTTGGACACACTCAGCTCGGCGCATTCATGAGTAATGCCTAGCTCGGTCCTTGTTCATCCACACCTCGGTCCAAAATACTTAAACCGAGCTAATTGCAGCCATTCTTGACCAAGCTTACAAGGTCCAGTCGCGAAGCCTATTTACCTCGGCCCATAGCTCGGCCTACTCTTTACCCGGTCCTAGCTCGGCCCAAACTTCACACAAATTACCCTCTCAATTGCCCCTTAATTCCATCTGCAGTGCATGATTTGGGATTATTCTTCTCCAGCCGAGCTAAAACGTCTATGCTGACCGAGCTGAAGCAAGTAATACCACCGAGCTCATCCTCTACCGAACTACCGATTTGCTCGGTCCAAAAACGTCTTATCAATTACTCTGCACGTCGTTCAATTTCTCAAGTGCGTCTAAATCGTTACCTATTCCTTTGGACACATGGCTTGCTCCCACTGGTCAAGTACAACTGACACAACCGTCTTCGTACTTTGAAAATTTTGAACAGTCCGCCTATTTTCGTGCTTTATACAAAAACCCTTACACTCCATTGTTCATCTTCTCTCATTCTTCGTGCTTCTGAGTTCTACCCTTGCTCCTGTACTCCCTTTGTGCTCGAAAACATTTGCTTCATTGCTGGTGGGTTATTGTCTTCAAGCCTTTTCATCTGTAAGTTACTTAATGCCTTTTTCTGATGTTCCTTTTTATCTATTTCTTCATTTTTGGTATTTTAATCTCCATATACATGCGTTTATATATACTGAAGTGTTGAGCAAATACCACAAACCCAAAACCTTACGCTCACACTCAAAAAAGCACACCAATTGGACTAAAAAAACATAATGTTTAATCCAGAGTTGTGCTGTAATCGAGCTAAATATTTGTTTAGGCAACTTTAGGCTTAAACATAATCGAACTGAGAAATCAGTTATAACTATGCATACCTATCTCCAATCGGGCTACGACCGAACTGAGAGCCTTCCTGTTCAATAACCGAGCTAGAAACTTGTGCCACAACCAAACTAAGAACGGATTGAAAACTCATTTAGCCGAACTAGGATTGCTTAGCCTGGTCCAATTATCTGGGTATAACACTTTATTGTCACTTTGCAGACTCAACTTGGTTGGCCAGGCACACCTTTGCACCTTGCCCCTAGACGGCTTTGTTTAACCAAGCCAACCAAAGCGTTAGATACGCCGAGCTAGGCTACTGTGAACAATTTTGTTATTATAAGTTATCATGGGTAAATACAGATTTCTCGTGGACTCCCTTGGGGCCATAGCTGAATTCCGGAGGGACTACCAAATTCCAGATGACGTTCACCTCTCCCTAGCCGAACTAGAAATAACCCCTTGGGGCAAACCAGGCTTCGTCCCGTTTACCGTGATATCCATTGTAGAAGCCGGTCTTTGATTTCCCGTTCAGCCACTCATTTGTGAATTTCTTAGGCAGAAAAAACTTTGCCCCATCCAGCTCTCCACAAATACATATAGGATAATAAATGGCATCGCCGAGCTAAACCGCTGGCTCGACCTCAACCTCAGATTGGCTAAGCTATTCCGTCAATACTCGCTCGGCTAAAATGATGACGGTTTGGTGTATTATTTAAGAGTAAGAAAAGGCCGAGAGAAAATAATTAAAAATATACCGGACAAAGACGTGATTGACGACGACTTTTTCTGGGTTTCTGGTAATTTTGAAGACCAGGAAGCCTAGATACTGGGCTACAATATCAACTGGAATAAAGGGACAGTCGGTATGAATACATCGGCTTAGTTGTCTGTTTTTTGCTGTTGTTTATAACTCTTCGCCGTACTAACCGTTGCCTTTTCTTTTTCCGCAGACTTGAACCAGCTAAAATTAAAATACCAATACGCCAATCAAGACGCTCTGCGTGCCGCACTTCGGTACCGTCACCGAAGTTGGTCCGAGCTACTTAACTTCGAACTGACCTACCGATACAGTGGAAAGAGGAAGGTCAGGGT